TCTATATATGTTTTAAAGCGGTAACTTTTCCTGTGAGCTCTATCTTAGCTGTTTGCCTGAGATTTGGGCATGTAGTAATTTTATTATTGTTGTGGTCTCATTATTTTCTGATTTCATTATGATGTTGTCTCATTCATTTCTTATTGAGAATCATGGAAAAGATGTTCTGTCTAGGGGGATTACAAAGTTATCTTTTGCTAATGATTTCTAATTTAATTGCCAAGTGGGTAGAAAGCCTTGTCTGTTGATTTCCTATCTTCAACATTTGTTGAAGCATGCACAGTGAATCAGAACATGGCCCTTTTTTTGTTGTTCTCTGACAGCTGGGGGAGAAGGAGTAACCTCTAAATGGCAGGTGTGGCATTGTACCCCCACACACTGTCATGTTTGCATGTTTTCATGTATTCTGCTTCTTCATTACTTTGTCACTATAATGTGTGAACTGTAACAGAATGGCATGTTGGCATCTCCCGCTGGATAGGCCGTTTGCTGGATTGGCTTGGGTGTCGCTCATTCGACTGATTTCCCAGCCATGGGCCCTCACAGCCACTGTATACTTCCTCGCTGCACTTACAGTGATATCTCTTTACTGGATTATTGCTTAATTTCCTAAATTCGCTCCTGGCTTCTTCTCCTACACCTCTTTACTTTCAGCCTGTTTTCCACACCAGCAGCCAGGTTGCTCATGTTAAAATATCATGATTTATCATGCCTCATTTTTTCTCAAAACCCTCTCTGATCCTGGTTTTCTGCAGATTCCACCTGCTCTCATTCTTAAAATGGCCTAAAATGCCTCACCCAACGTGGCCCCTCTCTCCACACCATTCTCAGCTGCCCTCCCCTCATCACCCCTTCCTGGCAAGAGGAAGGCACAGGAGAAGGCCAGTGGGAGCACGTAGGACAGCACTGGGCCTTGTGATTGTCTGATGTTTCAAATTCCTGGTGGAGCCCACACCCTGTATCAGAGCACGAATAACCATGTGAGCTGTGCATGCCCTGTGCTGTGTGCACACATGTGAGTGTGTGTTTGCCAGTATGTGTGGAGTTTGCAGCTTAATGGGCTGCTTTTGTCTGGACTGTGTCCAGGAGGGGATGTGATGCCCTTGGGGACTAGTCCTTTGAAGCTGATTTGTTGTGGCGGCTTGTTCAGCAAGACATTAAAAACCATGGCTTCTGCTGTTCCTAAGTGGGTCGTGCAGCGAGGGAAGGCCATAGAGGTGAGGAAAGGAGTTGTGTCCCTCATTCAATCTGTCTCCCTTCCTAATACCAATTGTGGTGTGTGTGTGTGTGTGTGTGTGTGTGTGTGTGTGTGTGTGTGTGTGTGTGTGTGTATTTAACAGTTAATGGCTAGCAGGAGGTCACAGAGCAGATCCACCCTCCCAATTCTTTTCTAAAATATGTTTTTATTGATTTGAGAGAGAGAGAGAGAGGAAGGGAGAGGGAGAGAGAGAAACAGAAATGATGAGAGAGAGAAACATTGATAAATCTGCTGCGGCCTGCAAGCCCCCTACTGAGAGGATCAAGCCTGCAACCTGGGCATGTGCCCTGACCAGGAATTGAACTAGCAATCTCTTAGTGCATGGGATGACGCTCAACCAACTGAGTCACACTGGCCAGGGCCCAATTGTGTTTTGAAAAGTGAACAGCAGAGCCTCTGAAATTTCATCATTATTTATATCTAACTCCACAGGGTGCTGGGTGGCCCTGGCTCCCTGACACGTGTTGGTGATGTTGGAAGAAGAGTGTCATTGCATGAATGTGTCTGTCACATCACTGTCCAGATTTCTTGTCTTGGGGTGTTCCTTACTGATTTAGTGACGTAGGGCTATTTATATTTAGTAAACTAGTTTCCTTTAGATCAGGGGTGGGGAACCTTTTCTCTGCCAGGGGCCATTTGAATATTTATAACCTCATTCTCAGGCCATACAAAATTATCAGCTTAAAAATTAGCCTGCTATATATAATCAGACATTTAATTAACTCACTCCTAATGATTGGGCAGGGCCAGACCAAATGATTTCACGGACCTTATACCACCCATAGGCCAGATGTTCTCCACCCTTGCTTTAGATGTTTCTAAAACAATGTCAATTGTCCTTTGGTTAAAGTACATTAATTTCTAGCCCTAGCCAGTTTGTCTCAGTGGATGGAGCGTCGGCCTGCAGACTGGGATGTCCTGGGTTCGATTCCAGTCAAGGGCATGTACCTTGGTTGCGGGCATATCCCCGGTGGGGGGGCATGCAGGAGGCAGCTGATCGATGTTTCTGTCTCATCGATGTTTCTAACTCTCTGTCTCTCTCCTTTCCTTTCTGTAAAAAATCAATAAAATATATTTTTTAAAGTGCATTAATTTCTGGTTTGATTGCATTGGTATCAGAGATTTCTATGTATACTATTTCTGTTGTATGTAACTTATTGAGGGAATAATCCTTGTCTGCTAGCATTTTGAGAGCCTCTTGAGAGAAGGGGGCAAGAGATCTCATTGTTGGTCTGTTTTCTTTCACATAGCACCCTGGTTTTAATCTCAGCATTTCCCTGTCTTAAGAATTGCTAGTTGTCATACCCTGAATGGGCCACCCTCTTCAGAGGGAAATCTCCAGTTGTCCATGGGAAAAGAAGAGTACTCACCTAGTGATTAGGATTTCTGGGGGCCTGAAACTTCCTTCCAGAAAATGTAAATTATGATTTCTGTTCTTATTCCCTGACCTCCACATCTTACCTTGGGTGTGCCAAGTGCTAGCCTTCTAGAATCCATGATGTAAACCAGGGTTTCCTAGTGACTTCTTCCTTAGAGGCTTAGGTTCATCGCTCTTTGCTTGGTCATATTAGTCACAACTTATTCATCCACTGTCCAGATTCCAGGGTTGTGTTGACAGAGCTTGCTGGTTGTTTTCAATTCTCCTGACTTTTTAGTGCTTGTTAGTTTGTGCCATTTTATCTTGTATCATTTTAGTGCTGTTTCTATAAGGTGGAGATAAACACATGCTAATTTTGCCATTTTAATGAGAGGTTTCTTCTATTGCTTTTAAAAAAACTTATAAGTATTTATTACCTTTAGGGTTTTTTTTAGTTGAATATTTTCCACATACATACAATTCACACTTTTAAAGTATACATGTTAGTAGTTTCTAGAATATTTACAAAGTTGGGCACCTATCACCACTACCTACTTACAGAACATGTTCATCACCCAGAAAGAAACTTCATACTCACTATTAGTTACTCTCATTCCCCTCTTTCCTCAGCCTTGGGAACCACTAGTCCACTTTCTGTCTCTGGATCACCTGCTCTGCACATTTCATGTAAATGGGATGAGACAATTTTTCTGTCTGGCTTCTTTCCCTCAGCATAATATTTTCAAGGTTCATCCATGTTGATCTGTCAGTCCTTCATTTCTTTTTTAGTTGCTAAATATTTTATTGTATGAATATGCCACATTTTGTTTATTCATTCATTAATTGGTGGACATTTGGGTTTTTCCACTTTTTTGCTATTATGAATAGTGTTGCTTGTGAACATTCATGTACATGTTTTTGTGTGCACATATCTTCAGTTCTCATGGTTATACACTTAAGAGTAGAATTGCTAGGTCGTATGGTAACTCTCTGTTTATTTTTTGTGATCCTGCCAGACTGTTTTCTAAAGTGACTATACCATATTATATTTGTACCTGCAAATGTATGAGAATTCCAGTTTCTCTGTATCCTTGCTGACACTTGTTATTTTTCTCCTTTTTAAAATTCCTCTTAAATTTTGAGTTAATTTTTGTATATGGTATAAGGTAAGGGTCCAAGTTCATTCTTTTGCATGTGGATACCCAGTTTTCCCAACACCATATGTTTCAAAGACTGCTCTTTCCCCATTGAATTGTCTTAGCCTCATGTTAAAAATTCTTCTATTGTTTTCTGGTGAATTCTCACTTATTGACCTTAGGCCTAACTAAACAAGCAAGGCCTCTCTAATCCTCGATCAGTAATATTTTGAGCATTTGACTGCACTGTGACTGTCTTCCCAAGTGAGATGCTGTGTGCCCATATGAAAGGGAGGTTTTACTTAATGTTATCTTATATGGAATTTCTTTGCATGTGGTGTTTTCATTTATTACATTTTGAACCTCAACATATTATATGGATAAGAAATTTTAGCTTGAGACATATACAGACATTGCTGTTATTTATTGCCTAAAGTGGTTACCTGTTTGACTCAGAGAAAGGCAAAGAAGTTTAACGTAAGTTTCTAATTATTTTTGGTGCTATGATCTCACAATTCCAAATGTTGTGACACTGTTCTAAACAAGCCTTTTACGATGTCTAGAACAATAATTTGTAGTGGTCATAAATATACACATATGGAATAGATTGAAAAATACAGCAAAGACTATAATGTTATGAAAATAGATACTTGTGACTGAGGTTTAAATTTCGAGTTCGAGCTACAAACATGATTCAAAATGTAAAAGTCAAGAAACTTAGATAGACCAAGGTGAAAATGATGCACTCTGGAAAAACATCAGATGGAGGAGAGAGTGTCTCTATTTGGACAAAATTGAATACTGAAATGGGAGCGTTATAATTAAATTATTATACTAGCCATGAACATGGAATATCAGCTATGTATTTAAATTCATATATAATTTCATAAATGTTATTTTAAAATCCATATAAATACATATAAATATATTAAATATTATAATAGAAAGTTAATTGTTTTAATTACATTCTCAAAAGTTTTCAATTTTACAAAAAATTTCTTTGGACTTCTCATTTATAAAATGGAAGCCTCCTCATGTTTTGAGCTGCCTCATCTGGGTTTTAATAGGGCAGTGTTCCTGGGTAAGTCCTCCCTGGCACTGCGTTTCCATACCCTGCGCCTGCCTTGTACCTGAATGCTTAAGACATGTTTGCTACTCAGTTGAATGCAAAAAAAAAGCTATCCTGTTGACCCTAGTGGATAGGATCATAAATTTCTAAGTTCATATGCCCTGTGTTTTTCTGTTTTAGGTAGGTGGGACAAAAGCCAGGCCTTCCATAAATCACCAGTTCCAGTTATGATGCTCTAAGTTACCACAAGTCTGAACATTTGTGTCTATGGATCTGCTCTGACTCTTAGAGCCGCTTATGGGGGAAGGTGAGTTGCTGTAAAGTATCTTTTGTTTGCTCATGTGTTTGTTTACCAAGAATGTGTGTAACAAAGCCAGACTCATCTTTGAAAAGGAAGTTTGTTCCATGTGGTCCAATCTGCATTTCAGTCTCTTTAGTTCATGACAGGGTGTCAACTGGGCAATAGTGCCAGGGAGAGAGACAGACCACGAAAGGAAATGTTTAACAAAGAAAAGCAGTCTAGCCCTGGCCGATATTGCTCTGTGGTTAAAGCATAGGCCTGTACACTGAAGGATTGTGGGCTCAATCCCTGGTCAAGGGCACATTCCTGATTGCAGTTTCAATCCCTGGCCTATTCAGGGCATGTGTGGGAGGCAACCAATTGATGTGTCTCTTTAACATCTCTCTCTCTTTCTCTCTGTCTTTCTCTCCCTCCATCTGTTTCTCCCTCTCCTCCTCCCTCTCTCCCTACCACTCACTCTAAAAATCAATGGGAAAAATATCCTCAGGTGAGGATTAACAACAACAACAAAAAGAAGACAGAAAAAAGAAAGGCAGTGGATGCAATGATAATGTGGGAACCTCTTGCCTTGTTGACTCTTGAGAGGTCACGTGTTGCGTTGACTTGGTGTTTGAAGAAATTGGTCTGCGTTTGCAGGAGCAGGTCGATGCTGAGGCAGAAATATTTCTCCATGGTTCTTTCCTTTGAATTTTTGAGAAGCATGGGAATCCTTAGAACTAATTTCCCCTTGGTGTTCCCTGTTTTTACTCTGTAGATCTTCATCCTACTATTTTGTAAAGAATGCTGGGTGGGGAATCTGAAGAGTTGGGTCTGTTATCAGCTTCTTAACTGGTTCCCTATGAGTGAGCAGGAGAGTATACAGATGGAAGAACATGTGTGCATGGGTGTAAGAATGTGTATGCATGTGTGTAGGAGCTTGTGTGCCAGTGTGCACAAGAGTGTATACACTTCTATAGAGCACATGTATAGAAGCATGGTTGCAGGAGTTTATGTGCATGTGTATTCGGGTGTAGGAATGTGTACGCATGTGTGCAGGAGCATGTGTTCTGTGTGCTGCTTGCTCCAACTCCCTGAGGTCCACATTCTCTCTGATGGACCTCAAGATTCTGAGCCTGCAGGACTGACTTTCTCTGGCCTTAGTTTCTACCTGTAAATCAAGCAAGGCCTCAGAGGTTTTTTCTGCAGCTCACATGCCTCAGTACTCTCCAGCCTAGTTCTAGATTATTCCCCATGAGTTTTACATTATGAGGCACTGCCAAAGCCTTAAGAATACTCAAGGATGCTTTATTCTCCTACGGCCATAATAGCAGTGGCCATGGGGAGTCTGCTTCAAGCTGTTTCTTGTATTAATCCAGATTCCCAACACGAACATTCCGTAAGTTCTGAGTTAACGTATCTCCCAGGTGCTTGTCTGAGAAGCATGTGCATCTTAAGAAGTCACAAGACTCAATAAGGATCCCCTTGTAAACTCTCTGAAGGTTTGCCATTCCTCTAAGCACCAGCTTCCTCACCCACCCTGCCCAGATTTTGTCTGTCTGGTTTTAGTGTGTTTTTTTGAATTGCAGCTCAGCATTTTTAATCTCGTGGTGCTTGACCCAATTCTGTAAGCCTCTGTCCTGTGCTGTTTTGATCTTTGCTTTGTTCCTCTTTCCATGGAGGAAGGTTAAAACCATTTCAGCTTCCAGGTGTCTGTGTCAGCTGCACATCAGTGACTGGTCACAGCAGACTACAAGTCTGCTCTGGGTTTGAAGAGGAGCCAGAGGAAATGGTTCCTTTCACATGACTGGGATGTCCCAGGCTGTGGTCAAGAGCGAGGATGGTTATGTAAACCAGAGTTGGGGCTGACCAGAGTTCTGAGGGCACATGTGGAGGATAGGCTTGGAGCACCCTCAGGCCAGGATGCCACCATTCCCCATTTTTTCTCAACCTCTGGGCCACGCCTCCTCATCTCCTTTGTGGTCCCTTTACCCTCAGCTTCTTCTTCAGCTGGTGACCTTGGTCCTTCATATCCCTTTTGCACACTGCTTCCTTTCCTCTCACTTCTTCAAGGGTTTGGCTCCTGCCTTACTCCCCCTCTCTGCTTCCACCGCATATGAACACGTGGGCATGCCCTTTGATGGCACGCCCACTTGCAATAACCACCCATTTCTGTCCCTTTGACAACTGGCCTTGCTGTCACCACTTGTTCATCTTGAACCAGACCTGCCTTGTCAAGATCCACAGATCTTCCCCTGCCAGATCCAAAAGTCGGTGTCCAGTCCTCCCTCACAGTCTCTCAGTAACACTGGATGCTGTCAGATACCCGGTCGGCAAGAGTGTGGGCCCTTGATGTCCTGGGCATTATGACCCTAAGCAAGGCATGAGTGACTGTGCTACTGTTTCTGGAGGAATAAGAGCAGATCCTCTGTGGAGAGCTACTGGGAGGAGTGAGCCAACAGTGCCAGACGAACTACAAGGCTGTCTTAATGTTCACTATTAGCATTTTCCTCCTCTGCTTGAACGCTTAATGTTGATGTCCCCAGGACTTGGCTCAGTTGGGCACCAATGACAGAGCCTGCCCCAGGGTGAGAGGTGGGGCACAAAGAATGCGACTGGCTGAGCCAGTTTGTCTCTGTGTGCCAGAGCTTCAAGCACATGTATCCTTTAACCCAGAAATTGTAATTATAAACATGTATTCCAAGGAAATAAGAGAAGGCCATGAAGAGGTACACCCAAAGATTATTATTAAAGCATTGCTTAATGTAACAATTCAAAACCTGGATACACAAACATAGCAGATTGGTTATGTTCTTATGCATTAAAATGCATAAAATAGAATGGCATAGGAATTTGATCACTATTATTTAGATTTAAACATATTGACATAGGAAAATATTTTGTGTATAATGGTAAATGAGAAAAACAGGACAATCATGGGTGGTTTGGTCCTATTTTTGTTAAAAATACAGTAGCACACACCTACTGGAAATAAAGTCTGAATAGGTAGACTTTACAAATATGTCACTATCACTGATGGTCTTTCTGAGTATTTATAGGCTATTTTTGCATAATGTATTTTTCTATTGTTTTCTGTAATGAGCATCCAGTACTTGTGTTATTCATTTATTTATTTATTTTTAAAGTTTTATCAAATTTATTGGGGTGACATTGGTTAATAAATATATATAGGTTTCAGGTGTACACTTCTATAATACATCATATGTATATTATATTGAATACCTGTGTTAAGTTTTTTTCCCTAAGGAGCAGAAAGTCTGACCGTGGTCAGTGATACCTGCATATGCGCTCCCCTTCTCTCTGTGTGCCTTTGCTGGTGTGAGAAAACCACCACTTAGTTTGTAGGTGCACACAGTGGCCAGCTCAGTGCCCCTTGGCCAAATGCACACCTGTCCTCACAGCCAGCAAGTACACTCTGCATCCATGTTTTTACCACTACCTGATATGTGTTTTGTCATTTATTTGTGCCTGATTTTGTGTAAGGTGATAAGATATAGGTAATAACTCAGTAAAAGATGGAGATAGAGGGCAACTTTCTCCTGCTTGGTGCGGAAGTACCTGTCCTGATTCGTGGACTAGTGTGCATTCTCTATGTTCTCTCCTGAGGTCCCAGTCCACCTTTCCATCCTACACTGCCCAAATCAGAGCCTTCACTTCTGGGTGGCTCTGAAGGACACACACGGCTCATCAATTGCTGAGCTTCTGTGTGCGGCTTGCTTTTAGGACTGGACCTGGAAGCTCTAGATCACAATGAACAAAAAATGGTAGAGGCTAAAATTCACTGTTGGTGCTGTTTCAGGCCCCTCACCCTGGTGACTCTGCAGTCCCAGGACCATGCCCGCTATTCGTAGGTAGAACCCTCTTCATGTGAGGCCCGTTCACGGCAGACAGCTGACAGCGGCAGTGACAGCTGAAGTCTTAGAGCTGCATTTTGATTAATATTGGTCCGTGAAGTCCCCCCACCCACCCCTTCCTTTCCAAGGGCTTAGCTACAGCACTGGATGTCCTGCAGGCATTTGTGTGGTGGCTGCTGTTTGGGTGAAGGAGTCATTGAAATGACAGCATCCGTGCCAGGCGCACCCCTCCAACAGAAGGAGGGGAGTTGGGCAAAAAGTAGGTCACATGTGCCTGGTCCCATGTCACGAGGTTTCCAACCTGAGGCCAATGGGATTTGTAGCCTCTTTTGGTTTAGAACAAAACACCACTCTAATTTTCTCTTTCTCTAAACGGGGAGAGTGACCATCTGTCTGATAGCCACATCCACCCAGCCCTGCCTGACCTCATAGCTGCTGTGTTTGGAGGTAAGGGGTTGCTAGAGGGTGGCCAAGGCTCACTCCACACAAAGCCCACGGTGTCCAGGGCGAGAAGTGGGGTGGGTGCAGGTCATCAGGAAGTGTCGGGAGGTCCTGCTGCAGCAACACAGCACTTTGCTTAGGGAAGGGAAAATGGACAGGGTGTCATACATATAGATAGTTCTAGAAGTTCAGATGATGGTATTCACATTGAGTCCTTTATTTCAATAATCTGGTTCCTTTTTAAGGATCAGGGTCAACTATTAGCACTCTAATGATAAAGTGTTATTATGTAGAAAAATGAATAGGTAATTTTACTGATGTTTGCTGCCAGTGATACTGGGGTAGATGTGGGAATATGATTCTCATGCTCAGAAACATCGGCCACCCCTGTGGATTGGGGCTCTGCGCTCTCAGTGTAGTGAGCGCCTTTGTTTGGGAATGTCAACCTTTCAAGGAAACAGTTGAGCTGTTGGCTTCCAGTAGTATGAACACACAGTGAGATCTGCATATCAGAATAAAGATAATACTTGTATATTACTACTGGATGGACAACATGCACTTCTGGAGTTTAATACTTATCTTGAGAAATAACATACTTCTTTTGTCTCTGGGAAGGCCAGCAAATGTGATTGCTTTGTGATAAAGCAGATGCGGAACGTATAATAGTTTAAAAGTGTTTGTAAAACCTGAATTTTTTAGCTTATAAATAACAAA